ATAAATTAAAAGTTTAGTCTACAAATATGCGAAAATATCGTACGAAACTTTTCGTTTTTTATATTTTCTATACTAGCTGCGCACACATTATTGAATCGTTTTTAGCTAGTAATTCGATCAGTCAATTAATAATTCAGAAGGTCCATTACTAGAACTTGGATTAACATATTGGCCTGGATTAAGCCGTAATTGAAATTACACTCGGAAGTCATCTTTTAAAAATAAAAACAAGATGGTTATCTAAATGACCATTAACGAAGATAAGAATTTCTTTATAAATTCCTAACAAAAATTCATACTTTAAGAGATTAATTTCCATTCTAGTTTTTATGGTCGGATAAGTCAATACGAACAAATAATGCACAAGTTACACAGTTTTTACGTATACATCATTTAAATTGAAAAAATTAAATTTCGAAAAATTAGACATTACCAATAATTTACCAATCCACTTTATTATTTATTCTAATATAAATCATGTTTTATACATGAAAATTAGCATGCTTATTCGTAGATTAAATTATGAACGTTTTTACGTTCCCATGAAACAACACCATTAGGGAACCAAAGACCTATCTCCCTTTCGGCGCTATCAACGGAATCGGAACTATAAAGTAAAACACGTTTAGAAGAATAAACAATTGATAAAAGAAAAACAATAAAAAGATTCACGCATACACACCCGTGACAGAGATTTTTACCAACTAAATTAAATCAATAGCATTAATAAATCTGCACTTTTTAGATGACATACCAAGCATGTAAAGAATACAAAGAAAAAAAAGCTTACCATCGATGCAAAAATCACCGCGGATAGTACCAGGTGCAGATTTCAAAGGATCTGTTTCGCCCAAAAGACGACGACCAGTTTTAACAACATCTTTTCCTTGCCATACCATACCGACAACAGGTCCAGATAACATATCTATTCATGCAAAATATTATAGGACAATCGATCATCATTGTGTTAACTACAAACGAATCAGATCAAAGAACAAAAAA